TTAAACTTTGTACTCTTAATAAGTAGTTTCCTTTTATTAATACAAAGCTCTAGCTAAAAAAGCTTATTAAATATGTTACAACTTAGACTAATGTTTTAACTAAAATTAGTCATTAGCCAAAACAAAAGATTAGATAACCAAGATGTTTTTATTATATGTATTTACGCGTAATCTTTTAGAAACATTTAATTGTTAAGTGCAAAAGTTATGACGTTAATGAGTTAATAAAACAAATTTGTTTTGTGTTAGAATAACACCAAAATGAGAACAAAGAAATAATAAAGTAATTCGGGATTTAGGGCAAACATTTGCGCAAAGCAAGCCAAATTAGTTTGTAAGCCAGACAGACATAGATCTAGTCTACAGCACAGAAAATAGTATAATCTATAGTCCAGACTATATATAGTGATGTCAATAGCGAAAAGTCTAAAAAAGAGTCCAGTATATAGTCTAGTCTCTAATTCAGACTACAGTATAGTCTATAATCCAGACTACAGTACAGTCTATAGTCTAGTCTACTATAGTCTAGTCTATAGTCTAGTCTATAGCCTAGTCTATAGTCTAGTCTATAGTCTAGTCTATAGTCTAGTCTATAGTCTAGTATATAGTCTAGTCTATAGTCTAGTCTATAGTATAGTCTATAGTCTAGTCTATAGTCTAGTCTATAGTCTAGTCTATAGTCTAGTCTATAGTCTAGTCTATAGTCTAGTCTATAGTCTAGTCTATAGTCTAGTCTATAGTCTAGTCTATAGTCTAGTCTATAGTCTAGTCTATAGTCTAGTCTATAGTCTAGTCTATAGTCTAGTCTATAGTCTAATCTAGAGTCTAGTCTATAGTCTAGTCTATAGTCTAGTCTATAGTCTAGTCTATAGTCTAGTCTATAGTCTTGTCTAGTCCAGTCTATAGTCTAGTCTATAGTCTAGTCTATAGTCTAGTCTATAGTCTAGTCTATAGTCTAGCCTATAGTCTAGTCTATAGTCTAGTCTATAGTCTAGTCCTTAGTCTAGCCTTTAGTCTAGTCTTTAGTCTAGTCTTTAGTCTAGTCTATAGTCTAGTATATGGTCTAGTTTATAGTCTATTCAATAGTCTATTCTATAGTCCAGTCTATAGTATATTCTATATCCTATTCTATAGTTTATTCTATAGTCTATTCTATAGTCTATTTTATAGTCTAGTCTATAGTCTAGTCTATAGTCTAGTCTATAGTCTAGTCTATAGTCTAGTCTATAGTCTAGTCCATAGTCTAGTCTATAGTCTAGTCTATAGTCTAGTCTATAGTCTAGTCTATAGTCTAGTCTATAGTCTAGTCTATAGTCTAGTCTATAGTCTAGTCTATAGTCTAGTCTATAGTCTAGTCTATAGTCTAGTCTATAGTCTAGTCTATAGTCTAGTCTATAGTCTAGTCTATAGTCTAGTCTATAGTCTACAGTCTAGTCTACAGTCTAGTCTATAGTCTAGTCTATAGACTAGTCTATAGTCTAGTCTATAGTCTATTCTATAGTCTAGTCTATAGTCTAGTCTATAGTCTAGTCTATAGTCTAGTCTATAGTCTAGTCTATAGTCTAGTCTATAGTCTAGTCTATAGTCTAGTCTATAGTCTAGTCTATAGTCTAGTCTATAGTCTAGTCTATAGTCTAGTCTATAGTCTAGTCTATAGTCTAGTCTATAGTCTAATCTATAGTCTAGTCTATAGTCTAGTCTATAGTCTAGTCTATAGTCTAGTCTTTAGTCTAGTCTATAGTCTAGTCTACAGTCTAGTCTATAGTCTAGTCTATAGTCTAATCTATAGTCTAGTCTATAGTCTAATCTATAGTCTGGTCTATAGTCTAGTCTTTAGTCTAGTCTATAGTCTAGTCTATAGTCTAGTCTATAGTCTAGTCTATAGTCTAGTCTATAGTCTAGTCTATAGTCTAGTCTATAGTCTAGTCTATAGTCTAGTCTATAGTCTAGTCTATAGTCTAGTCTATAGTCTAGTCTATAGTCTAGTCTATAGTCTAATCTATAGTCTAGTCTATAGTCAAGTCTATAGTCTAGTCTATAGTCTAGTCTATAGTCTAGTCTTTAGTCTAGTCTATAGTCTAGTCTACAGTCTAGTCTATAGTCTAGTCTATAGTCTAATCTATAGTCTAGTCTATAGTCTAGTATATAGTCTAGCGTATAGTCTAGACAATGGAAGATCCTATAGTCTAGTCTATGTATAATCTATTCTATTATATAGTCTGATCTATAGTCCAGTCTAAACTATAGTGTAGTCTTTGCTATATTTTCTCAATTTATTTGTTATTGCAAAAGTTGAAAGTGTAGAAAACTTTACTACTTTTATTTAATGTTTAAAAACAAAAAATAATTATTAAATAATAAACTTTGTATTTAAAATATAACCCCTTTTGTAATTTTTAAACTTTGTACTCTTAATAAGTAGTTTCCTTTTATTAATACAAAGCTCTAGCTAAAAAAGCTTATTAAATATGTTACAACTTAGACTAATGTTTTAACTAAAATTAGTCATTAGCCAAAACAAAAGATTAGATAACCAAGATGTTTTTATTATATGTATTTACGCGTAATCTTTTAGAAACATTTAATTGTTAAGTGCAAAAGTTATGACGTTAATGAGTTAATAAAACAAATTTGTTTTGTGTTAGAATAACACCAAAATGAGAACAAAGAAATAATAAAGTAATTCGGGATTTAGGGCAAACATTTGCGCAAAGCAAGCCAAATTAGTTTGTAAGCCAGACAGACATAGATCTAGTCTACAGCACAGAAAATAGTATAATCTATAGTCCAGACTATATATAGTGATGTCAATAGCGAAAAGTCTAAAAAAGAGTCCAGTATATAGTCTAGTCTCTAATTCAGACTACAGTATAGTCTATAATCCAGACTACAGTACAGTCTATAGTCTAGTCTACTATAGTCTAGTCTATAGTCTAGTCTATAGCCTAGTCTATAGTCTAGTCTATAGTCTAGTCTATAGTCTAGTCTATAGTCTAGTATATAGTCTAGTCTATAGTCTAGTCTATAGTATAGTCTATAGTCTAGTCTATAGTCTAGTCTATAGTCTAGTCTATAGTCTAGTCTATAGTCTAGTCTATAGTCTAGTCTATAGTCTAGTCTATAGTCTAGTCTATAGTCTAGTCTATAGTCTAGTCTATAGTCTAGTCTATAGTCTAGTCTATAGTCTAGTCTATAGTCTAATCTAGAGTCTAGTCTATAGTCTAGTCTATAGTCTAGTCTATAGTCTAGTCTATAGTCTAGTCTATAGTCTTGTCTAGTCCAGTCTATAGTCTAGTCTATAGTCTAGTCTATAGTCTAGTCTATAGTCTAGTCTATAGTCTAGCCTATAGTCTAGTCTATAGTCTAGTCTATAGTCTAGTCCTTAGTCTAGCCTTTAGTCTAGTCTTTAGTCTAGTCTTTAGTCTAGTCTATAGTCTAGTATATGGTCTAGTTTATAGTCTATTCAATAGTCTATTCTATAGTCCAGTCTATAGTATATTCTATATCCTATTCTATAGTTTATTCTATAGTCTATTCTATAGTCTATTTTATAGTCTAGTCTATAGTCTAGTCTATAGTCTAGTCTATAGTCTAGTCTATAGTCTAGTCTATAGTCTAGTCTATAGTCTAGTCCATAGTCTAGTCTATAGTCTAGTCTATAGTCTAGTCTATAGTCTAGTCTAGTCTAGTCTATAGTCTAGTCTATAGTCTAGTCTATAGTCTAGTCTATAGTCTAGTCTATAGTCTAGTCTAGTCTATAGTCTAGTCTATAGTCTAGTCTATAGTCTAAGTCTAGTCTATAGTCTATTCTATAGTCTAGTCTATAGTCTAGTCTATAGTCTAGTCTATAGTCTAGTCTATAGTCTAGTCTATAGTCTAGTCTATAGTCTAGTCTATAGTCTAGTCTATAGTCTAGTCTATAGTCTAGTCTATAGTCTAGTCTATAGTCTAGTCTATAGTCTAGTCTATAGTCTAATCTATAGTCTAGTCTATAGTCTAGTCTATAGTCTAGTCTAGTCTTAGTCTAGTCTATAGTCTAGTCTACAGTCTAGTCTATAGTCTAGTCTATAGTCTAATCTATAGTCTAGTCTATAGTCTAATCTATAGTCTGGTCTATAGTCTAGTCTATAGTCTAGTCTATAGTCTAGTCTATAGTCTAGTCTATAGTCTAGTCTATAGTCTAGTCTATAGTCTAGTCTATAGTCTAGTCTATAGTCTAGTCTATAGTCTAGTCTATAGTCTAGTCTATAGTCTAGTCTATAGTCTAGTCTATAGTCTAGTCTAGTCTAGTCTATAGTCTAGTCTATAGTCTAGTCTATAGTCTAATCTATAGTCTAGTCTATAGTCAAGTCTATAGTCTAGTCTATAGTCTAGTCTATAGTCTAGTCTTTAGTCTAGTCTATAGTCTAGTCTACAGTCTAGTCTATAGTCTAGTCTATAGTCTAATCTATAGTCTAGTCTATAGTCTAATCTATAGTCTAGTCTATAGTCTAGTCTTTAGTCTAGTCTATAGTCTAGTCTATAGTCTAGTCTATAGTCTAGTCTATAGTCTAGTCTAAAGTCTAAAGTCTAGTCTATAGTCTAGTCTATAGTCTAGTCTATAGCCTAGTCTATAGTCTAGTCTATAGTCTAGTCTATAGTCTAGTATATAGTCTAGTCTATAGTCTAGTCTATAGTCTAGTCTATAGTCTAGTCTATAGTCTAGTATATAGTCTAGCGTATAGTCTAGACAATGGAAGATCCTATAGTCTAGTCTATGTATAATCTATTCTATTATATAGTCTGATCTATAGTCCAGTCTAAACTATAGTGTAGTCTTTGCTATATTTTCTCAATTTATTTGTTATTGCAAAAGTTGAAAGTGTAGAAAACTTTACTACTTTTATTTAATGTTTAAAAACAAAACATTATTTACCATTTTTATGATATTTTATAAAAAAAGAATAATAACTAAGTAGCTTAAGGGGATTTAAACAGAAAATATTTGAAAAAAAAACTTACCTTGAATAGTTTTATTAGTTTTTAAACAAAAATATTTGATGATTAAAGTTGAGTTGCTGGAAAGAAAAAAATAATAAAAGAAAAATTAGTATAAAATTGTATAAAAATTAAATAAAAAATGATTTAAATTTACAAATTTTAATAAAAATTAAGAAAATTTGTTGTTTTTGTAAAATTAAATATACAAAAATGTTTACCTTAAAACGGTAAAACAGTTGTAATTTTTTTTAAATAGCTAAAGGTGTTAGCTTTTTTTATTAGTATAATATAATTATGCTCATTTTGTGACACTTATGAGGGTAATGATGATCACCATCATCATCAACATTTGAAAAGTTTTTTGAACTTTATATTGTTAATTTCAATTGTAATGTTTTTGAAATAACCCCACTCAAGAAATAATATATATAATTTTCTAGCATAAGTTTGTAATAATGAGTCATTAAAAATGTACGAGTGCCAAACGAGGAATAAAAAAAAAATTCTTGAAAATAAAAATTTTATAGAAGTTTTTCTTGAAGGAATTTGAACGAAAATGGGGTGGTGGGACCAGATGATTAGAAGGGAAAGTAGGCGAACACGCTGGCAGACAAAGTTAAGAAATTACTTTACTAACTACTACGAACTACTAAACGAACGAACGAACGAACGAACGAACGAACGAACGAACGAACGAACGAACGAAAAACGAAACGAACGAACGAACGAACGAACGAACGAACGAACGAAAACGAACGAACGAACGAACGAACGAACGAACGAACGAACGAACGAACAAACGAAACGACGAACGAACGAACGAACGAACGAACGAACGAACGAACGAACGAACGAACGAACGAACGAACGAACGAACGAACGAACGAACGAACGAACAACGAACGAACGAACGACAACGAACGAACGAACGAACGAACGAACGAACGAACGAACGAACGAACGAACGAACGAACGAAACGAACGAACGAACGAACGAACGAAACGAACGAACGAACGAACGAACGAACGACGAACGAACGAACGAACGAACGAACGAACGAACGAACGAACGAACGAACGAACGAAGAACGAACGAACGAAACGAAAACGAACGAACGAACGAACGAACGAACGAACGAACGAACGAACGAACGAACGAACGAACGAAACGAACGAACGAACGAACGAACGAACGAAGAACGAACGAACGAACGAACGAACGAACACGAACGAACGAACGAAACGAACGAACGAACGAACGAACGAACGAACGAACGAACGAACGAACGAACGAACGAAACGAACGAAAGAACGAAACGAACGAACGAACGAACGAACGAACGAAGAACGAACGAACGAACGAACGAACGAACGAACGAACGAACAACGAACGAAAAGAACGAAAGAAGAACGAACGAACGAACGAACGAACGAACGAACGAACGAACGAACTAACGAACAACGAACGAACGAACGAACGAAACGAACGAAACGAACGAAAGAACGAACGAACGAACGAACGAACGAACGAACGAAAGAACGAACGAACGAACGAACGAACGAACGAACGAAGAACGAACGAACGAACGAAAACGAACGAACGAAAACGAACGAACGAACGAAAAACGAACTAAACTAAACGAAAACGAACGACGAACGAACGAACGAACGAACGAACGAACACGAACGAACGAACTGAACGAACGAACGACGAACTAACGAAAGAACGAACGAAAAACTGAACTAATCTAACTAAACGAACTAATCGAACGAACGAACTAACTAACTAACTAACTAACTAACTAACGAACTAACTAACTAACTAACTAACTAACGAACTAACTAACTAACTAACTAACTACGTAACTAACTAACTAACTAACTAACTAACTAACTAACTATAACGAACTACTACCTAACTAGCTAACTAACGAACTAACTAACTAACTACCCTTCCTACCCTTTAAATTTCCAACTTACCCACACGACTGGTCACCCCTTCTTCAGGCTGCACGCGTTTTAAGTTTCTAAAAACTGTATTTCTTCACTTTTAACCCGCTGTGTTTCAGTTTTCCCTCCTATACTATACTATAGGAGGGAAAACACTATAACACGTATGTACGTGGAAATATTTAGTAACAAACTTTATATTCTTAATAAATTCATTAGGTTAAGAAAACATAAACAACAACAAAACACCCACGTAACAAAAACAATTTTAAAATCAAAATCTCTACATACACATAAGTAAGTATGTATTTGACACAACAGCTACACAAACTGCTAGACATTTTAGCCAAGCGCCTTTAATCATTTACACCTACCCACTATACGGCGTCGTGGTAGAGTCTTATGCTTCCAATTTAAAAGATTTATGTTTAATTTTCTATTATTAAATATTATTTTTAGAATTATCGAAAACATTTGAAATATTTATATGCATATTTTTTTTGAGTTAAAAAAAGAACAGACACATACACCTACAAAACCAATTAAAGTTTTTGTTTGCTTAACAAAATCATTATAATTCTTTTGTTTCTATATTTAAACGGAAATTTAAAATAATAAATTTGTTTAAATATGACATAAATTAACTAATAAATGTTTTATGTGTTTAAATTTAGTTTTAACAAAAAAAACTATAATAAATGATTTATATTTCCATAACAAATTGTTTTCTTTAGAATTTGTTTAATAGTTTGCTGATGTTAGGTTAAAATTGGAAGAAAAAAAAATATAGATCTGCTCTATTGGGAAAAATTATGTTATCAACATTTAGGAAAAATCTAAAAAATATAGTTTATTTCTCACACTTCCGCTTTGTCATATGTTCTGTTGAAAACTTTGGAAAAACTCATGCAATGATTTGGGAAAGATTGATCAACAGTTACAGCTATGCATGAAGTGATAAGTACCTTTACAAGATCGCTTGAAAGATCAATGCTAGTGCTACTTCAAACAAACGGCTTCTAGAGGGGAACATATGGAAGTTTGTCGAACATCGGAAAGTCTAAAGAACATCCATTATTGACCTTTGCAACTCTCAAGTTGTCAACAATTTTGACTTAGCATACTAATCTACGATCTAAAAGATCGTCTCTGTTTTAATTAGAGAGAAATGTTAATAAATCTAAATATAAGTTCGATCGGCCCTGAACGTCAATAGGATTCCTGCCAAATATAAGAACTTGGATTATATAAGACTTCAACGTTTCAGCATCGGTTCTTAGATCTGCAATTAATCGCAATTTTTTGAATTCAGCCTTGATTCGATAACGAGAAACTTAAATTTGTTTACCGTAAACTACGATGTTTATTTTTTAACTGTAACTCGAGAAAGTCAGATTATTATTACCGATGTCCATGGTCAGGAGGACGTTTAGTCGAAAAACAGGAGCTAAGAGGTAAGAAAGGGAATTAATTTCCATTCGTTACTGTGTGGGGATACATACTTCATGATGTGTCAAGTCTAAGGAAAACTTGGATGATATAATTGCCGTAAAACAAATCATCAAAAAATTATAAATGAATTTTACACCATAAAAGCTTTTGTAGCATCAAAGCATAATAAAATGTTAGCATTATAAAAGTTTAGAAAAACGTTTTCGCTTCATAAAAGATTTTAAATTATTTTTAATCATGAAAATTAAAAAAAGTTATCATAAAAGCTTAAAAAAACTTTTTTTATCATAAATGCTTAAAAATGTTTTTCGTCATAAAAGCTTAAAAAGCTTTGTTTATCATAAAACCTTAAAAAAAGTTTTTTATCATAAAAGCTTAAAAGCACTTTTTTATAAATACTTTTTTATATAAAAGCTTAAAAAATCTTTTCTACCTAAAAGTTTTTTCTCTAAAAGCTTCAAAAACTTTTTATGTAAAAGCTTAAAAAACTTTTTTATATGAAAGCTTAAAGATGCTTATTTAACTAGAAGTTTATAAATGATTTTTATCTAAAATCTTAAAAATGTCTCTTTATCTAAAAGCTTAAAGAAGTTTAAAAAGCTTTTTGTTCCAAAATGCTTTAAAAAAGCATTTTGTTCCAAAATGGTTGAAATGACCTTTCATTAAAAAAAAAACTTAAAAAAAAAATAATTTTTTTTACCAAAAAAAAAAAAAAACTTAAAAAACTCTTTTTAAAGCAAGCTTAACCCATTTACGGTCGCTGTGCCAATTTGGGAACACTTAATTTTTAAGGCTGTATTAAAAAACGGTTAACTCTGGTTTATTTATTTTTTCAGTATTGAGTAGAGGAAAGTGCTCAGAATAAATATTAAATCAAACAATTTAACTAAATTCATTGTTATTGTTGTAATAATCTATTAAACTTCAGTGGCCAAAAATATACTAAAAACATGTTATAAAATAAATTTGTTATAATTTTTTAAACAAAGTATGACAGTTATTAATTTGAAACAAACGGTCTAAAAATAATCTGATAACATAGTAATGCCCGTGTCTGCCATTTCACTCTGTTTCTAGTTTCTGGGACGTCTCTAAAACGTTAAAAAACGCGAGCTACATAAAAACGGAAATCCTCTCTAATGTCCTAATTATTAATATTTTTTAATATTTTTTTTTTTTTTCGTTTCTGCTTTTTTGCATTGTTGAAAATAAATATACCGTGAAGTTTCAAAAATTTAACTTGTACTTTTTGATTGGCTGTAAATGCTTTTACATAAAAAAGTATATAAAATTAGAAAGTTTTACCAGAAGTTTGTTTTATTAAAAAAAGCATTTATTATCAAAAAACTAAAAAAGTTTTTTTTATCCAAAATGTTTAAAAACTTCTAGCGTTTAAAAAAAAGAGTTTAACATTTTTTTACAAATATATTTGATAAGCTTTCTTTAAAAAAGCTTATGAAGTTTTTTATAAAGAAGCTTTTCTTTATTAAACAAGATTAAAAACATTTTTTATCAAAAAAGCTATATAATAGCTTAAAAAGGTTTTTTATTTAAAATCTTAAAAAAAACTCAAAAGTTTGTTGTAAAATTAGTCAAAAATACTTTTGTTTTAAAATGCTTTTTAAATCATTTTGGAAGCTTTTTTATAAAGATTTTTTAATAAAAAAAAAAGTTA